GTCCTTTATTCAGTGAGACTCTATCTGAAATACCTGAGTAATTCTCAACATAGTAATGATACTCTATATACAGTGTAGAGAAATCTTAGAATGGGTAGAACTCCCACTAAGGAGCAAAGTCTGAGATGCATTTGCAAGCCACAGACATGAGACAGGAGCAATGTCAGGAGGAGTGATAGCAAATACCTTTGAAGAAGTGAGGAAGGAAATGAATTAGTAGGCATGAATTCATACATAGAAAGAAAGTGCACTTAAGGGTAAAGGGATAGCAGAATTTCACTAGAGACGACTAACAGTTTGTGAGTAGTAAAGATACCAGCTTCACAAGAATGATAACTTACTGGATGATGAAGATAAAGTTAAGTTGGAAAGACAAACCATTGATCAAGAGGTCAAGTAGTTTGAACTTAATAGACTATAAAATGAGAATTCAGTAGGAAGTTAATTATTCTAGTCTGGTCCAAGGTGGTGTTTAAGGCAGGCAGACAGGGAGTAGTAAGTGAGAGATGCTGAAAAGGAAGATTCTGTAGGCCACAGTGACTCAAAGAATGCGGGGGTAGAGGAAAGAGATATAAAAATAATTCTAATTAAAGCAATGCTTTATGTAGAGTGCTCTATTTTATCCAAAATGATGAGGTATCCTATTCTGTATTTTGATTCTCATGACTAAGAAAGAAAAAAATTATTTTAGGATGCTTTTTCATACAGGACAGCAGTTTTAAAGCTCCTGCTTCATGAAACTCACTCTCCCTCACTTGCACTTTGAAATTCCATAATTGGCAATCAGGTTTTTGAGACCGGACCTGTGGGACACACAACTCATCACTCATACCCAATCTGACCAACAGGCTTGAGGTCAGTAGCCCTAAAACTAACCTAAATATGGCCTGAAGTGAATTGTCATTTAGGAAACAAAATAACCTTTGAAGCGACATAGTAATGAAAATATATGCTTAGGTTTCAAAAGAAATGTATCTTTTTATTTTTATGGAGAAAAAATTTGGTAAAATTAAAAGTATTTTCACAAGGATGATCTCATTTTCACAGTAGCTCTGCAAAAGAGGAAATGGAGAAGATATTTTTATTCCCATTTTTAAAAAGAAGAAATTGAGAGATGGGGAGATTAAGTGACTCTTCCAATTCTCCCTCATAAGTAGCCCAACAGGTTAGAGCCAGAGCCAGAGCCAGAATTCCTGATGACGTCCCTTTCTGTGCTCTTAAACCCAGTCTGTCTGAAGACTTGGCATGGCACTGTCAGATGACATATACCAGGTGTCTTATATTTTTCTTTGATGACATGTAAATGATATTCATACAAAAACAGTATATAAATATTCTACTCAATCAGTTCTATCTGAGCAAGCAAATGTTTGCTGACATCCCCATCTATAAGAGTTTGGGGCATGACTCATTATCTAGACATCCATATATTTTTTTTAAGTGGGCAGTTGAGTACTGTCAAGTTGTTATATAGTTTTATCCTGTGATAACTGGCCACTCATCTTTTATATTCAGAATTCATCTATGTATCTTCATAAAGATACTGTTGCAGGATTCTTTATCACTTGCTTGATGACTTAAAAAATTGCTATGAGTGGAAAATATCCATAAATTGTAAAAGGCAGTCTAAGAAACATAGATAGTTCTCACTCTGTTTCTAAATAGCAAGATCACATTAAAACTCAAAAATAGGTAACATTAATCACTATAATCCAAACAACTACCCTTTAGACCTGTCAGGGAACACTGAAAGCTTTCAGTGTAACCCTTAGTTCTTTCTTATGAAATTTTGGCAGAGCAGAGGGAAGAAGAGAGCATGCTTGGTGACTTGGGAGTCTGTTAACAGTGATTACAGTTAGGGAGAGCCTTAGAGGGAGTGGCGTTTGTTACCTTTCTGACTATTTCTTGGCCATTCAGAAACCCATCATTTCCACAATCATACTCAAGCCATCCTTGACCATGAACTGTGGTGGGAATATCTTGATAGGACTGTCCTGATTTTATAGAAGAATATAATGAAGGACAAACACTCATTATTGTTATAGCAATCATCTTATGCATAATAATTTACAGCTTAGAAACCCTTTCACCTGTATGATCTCATTCATTATTTCCCATACAACAGTAAGTTGCTATTACTATTGTTCATCATTACTTCCAAAGAATCTGAGTCACGCAGGATTTAAGCCAGCTCGGGAAAGTCATACAGGTAATAAATGATGAAACTAGAACTCAGACCAAAGTCTTTTGACCTCATATCCCACGTGATCTCTACTATATTTGCAGCCTCACAAACCTATGGAGGATGTTGGACCAAGAATAAAGGTAGATATCAAAAACAGTCAATGAGTTAAAAAAAAAAAAAAAAAAAAAAAACCACTGAATAGAAAGACTGAGGAAATGAAGGCATACCCAGGAGAAAATCCAAATGGCCAATAAGCATGAAAAGATGCTCACCCTCACTGGCAATCTGGAAAATGCAAATCAAAACTATCATCACACTCATTAGATTAGTAAAATCTGAGAATAATACCAAGTACTGTGTCAGATGTAGAGCAATGAAAATTTCAACACACTACCGAGGGGAGTGTAAATTGTTATGACCTTTTTTATCAACCATTTGCCATTATCTAACAAAGTTGAAGATGCACATAGTCTGTGCCAGCAAGGGGTTCACAGCAGAGTTATTTCAATAACCAAATATTTGTCATAACTCCAGGGTCCATTAACAGAAGAATGGATGAATGTTACTGAGTAGTAATATAGCCATCAATAAATACTATACTGAAGTGAAAATTAATGAACTAGAGGTACAAGTATCAAAACAGATAAATATCAGAAAGAAAATTACAGAATATTAAAATATATACCATTTACAAAAGGCTTAAAATATATAAAATACTTTCTAGGGATTATTTAGGGATTAGATACTATTTAGAGTTTTTTTTTATGGACACCTAGGTATGACAAACTATAAAGTATATATAAATAACAGACCTCAAGGAGGACAATGGTTACCTTGGAAAGGGCTATAAAGGAATACAAGTGTGGGGAGAGGTGCTAGCTAAGGGGGATTAAACTAATATGAGCAATGTTCTAATCATTAAGTTGGATGCTAATATACAGGTAATTGTTCTTTCAACCTTTTAAATGTAGAATATATAGCACTAAGACTAAAAGAAACAGGAGGAGAAAAAATAATCTATCTGAATCAGACACTTGTCTGGGACACTCAGATGAACAGAATCAGTTGAAAAGGATGCCCAAAGCATCTCCAGCTGCCACAGTCTGATGAGGAATTATAATAGAAGAAAGGGAATGTCCACTCCAATTCAGTTCTGAGTCTCGGACCCATGTTCCAGCCACCCTATCAGTACCCTCTCTGATAGACACTATGGAAAGGTAAAGTTCCATCTGATCAATCACATAGGTTGTGACATTTTCTAGAGGCAGACCTAACCTGGATCCCTGAAAATGTCTGTTTGGCCTTTGTCTGTCAATCTTTAGCACTTTCAAACAATTTCCTAGCATTTGGGAAAGGAGACTATTAAAACAGTACTGTTCGTTGTTTCATTTATGTTATACACCTACGAAAGACCAGAAAAGTATTCAACTCTAAAAATTCAACTCTGTTTTTCATTTTTTATGTTTGCAAGCTTGATGGGCAAAGATGTCTCAGAATGGAATCCCTAGCCATTTGTATCTCCCATTCCGGAATTATTCTGATAAACAGATGTCTGTTGAGTTGCTTATTTGACAGTTTGTGAAAACATGTCTTCTCATCCCTAATATACTCCTCAGCATAGTCAGGCACAGTCTCAATTTGCAAGTTCAATTTTCAAGTATTATGGTTTGTGAAGATAAAAATACCAGTCCATGATAAAATAGTTCTCCAAAAATAAAATTGTTATTCATACATAATTGAAATTTTTTAAAACATTTATCTCAAACAGCCATGATTTTCTGCATTTTAAGCAGGAAAAAAATGTTTCTCTGAATATATTTTATAATGAATAATTTGTATTCAGGGCATTTCTAATCATAAAGTTAGCTTCTAACCTGTAGACCTCTGAAAATCTGTGATAATTCACTTGGGAGAAAGGACACATGCCTTTATTGAAAATGATCAACAGAAATATTAGTTTATCTAAGATCAGAGGATGAGCTATGGTAGCTTTCTGTTTGAAACCCAAATCTCCTCCATCCTATTTTAACAACAGTCATTTTAATAATAGTCCACATTTATTGAGCACTGTGCGTCAGACACTATGCCAAGTACTTTTCCTACATTATGTCATTTCATTCTGACAACTTTACAAAGGAGGAACTGTGGCTCAAAGCAGGTAAGTAACTCGCTCAGTATCACGTATCTGATAAGCAGCAGAGCCAAGATGTGAACCCACCTCCCTAATCCCAAAACCTGAATTCTTAACCTTTGCTCACATATACATGGAAGCTTTGTAATTACCTGCTATAGATGGAAAAACATAAATGGGCAAATGTTTTTCTCTTCCATAAAAAGGAAAAAGGCAATTGACTTAACTTATACAAATACACACACACCCCGAGCTGACGGTCAGCTAGACGGCTTTTTCATCTAAAACTCATGACCACTACGTCTCAGTAGTTTGAAAATTCTATTAACTGAATTACACTGAAGATGGAAATTAAGATAAAAAAGCAGCACAGAGCATGTGTTTCTTCAAGGTAAAAATTCCTATCACCTTTTCTTTCAGTCCTTTTTTCTGAATGTAAAGTTGCTGCTGAACTTCGAGAATAACCAAATAGCTTTGCTTTTTTTTAGCATTTGATCATTATATTTGTTGGCAGCCCTGTTGTAAACTTGAGTCACCTACAATGATTTTAAGTATTATTCTAATTGATTTTCTCACTGCTTACTGAGAAACAGCATCTCTCTCTAGTCTTATAAATAATTCCGTTTCTCTATGTCAACGTTAATTGAAACTACCTCATGTTGTCAATCTCTTTTTTTCTTACAGGTGATGTCATTGTCTATATTAATGAAGTTTGTGTCCTTGGACACACTCACGCAGATGTCGTCAAACTTTTCCAGTCTGTTCCTATTGGTCAGAGTGTCAGCCTGGTGTTGTGTCGTGGCTACCCTTTGCCCTTCGATCCTGAAGACCCTGCTAACAGCTTGGTGCCACCCCTTGCAATAATGGAGAGGCCGCCTCCAGTGATGGTCAATGGAAGACATAACTATGAAACATATTTGGAATACATTTCTCGGACCTCACAGTCGGTTCCTGATATAACAGATCGGCCGTCTCATTCTTTGCTCTCCATGCCAGCTGATGGTCAGCTAGATGGCACGTATCCACCGCCCGTCCATGATGACAATGTGTCTATGGCTTCATCTGGGGCCACCCAAGCTGAACTTATGACCTTAACCATTGTGAAAGGTGCCCAGGGCTTCGGCTTCACTATTGCTGACAGTCCTACAGGACAGCGGGTGAAACAAATACTTGACATTCAGGGATGCCCTGGCCTGTGTGAAGGCGACCTCATTGTTGAGATCAACCAGCTGAATGTACAGAACCTGAGCCATACAGAAGTAGTGGATATACTTAAGGACTGTCCCATTGGAAGTGAAACTTCTTTGATTATCCATCGAGGAGGTAAGACAAACACTGGCTCAGCAATAAAATATGTGGGTAAAGTAGTAGGATCCTTTAATAATATTCTTAAAATGGAGATTTCCTTGGAGTTGAATGAAGTTATACTTTAAAAATTACAGGTTAAAAAGTAAGAGAGAAAAACATGAGTTAAAGGAAGCTGTGTTTTTGAATTCTGAGACTACAACTTTTTCTATTTTGTGTTAAACACAATAATAGTTCTTTCAGTCTTACAAACATATTGATAAAATGTTAGAGGGTAAAGATTAAATTCCCAACCATGTGTTTCAAAAGTTCATTCATGTATCAGTTGTGGAGAACTCAAACTGGTTTCCCATTGATTCAATTAAGAAACATGCTTTTACAATGGAAGTCATGCTTTGAATCATGCTTAGGTTTCCAGGCTAACAGGTGGAAGCTGATTCAACCCCTACCAAGCCCAAGCACAGTCAGAAAGACCAAGAACTGTGAGAACTGTGGGAGCTGTGCTGCTGTTGAAACATCTTTTCAGAGTCTGGAATGGTGTTGTTCAGGACACTTCTGCTACTACAGGGACTGCTCTGTTAACAATTACCCATAGTGCCTCCCATGACCTGGGAAGAAAGTTACAGAACAGGGTGAGGGCTGAAGTTCTGGGCTGAGTGTCCTGGGTGGAGTATGGGAATAGCAACATTGAAGAGTGTGGTAAAGCGCTAGAGCCCTGGATGTTTCTTCCCCTCTACCTTCTGTGTGGGGAAGGAAATGGGGTAAAGCACAGGATCCCTTCTCCACATCTCCGCTGCTTTGCTCTTGATGACCAGTGAACCGGGAGAGAGAAGGGAGGGAAAGAGCCATAGATAAAGAGAATACTCAAAAACAGAGTGCAAAGGAAAGGGAACAGGTTAAGTCCTGGTTTTCCCATTTGCCAATATGTGGACTTAGGACACTGAAAGTCAATAAGCCTCAACCGTGTCATCTGCTACAATGGGATAATAATACTACCTAACCCAGTGGTAGTGTTGTAGCCCAACAGCTGCTCACTAAATGTCTGTTGAGTCTAAATTAACACTGAAGTTTCAGCATGGACGAGTCAGAAGTAAGAGTACAGTGAGGAACTCATGCATGAAGAACACACATGTAACAAACGAGTGGTTGCCTATTTAAAGCATTCAAAACAGCCTGAAACTCTTGCCAGTTTGAAATGCAAGTGAAGGCAGTCAAAGCTGAAAGAAAGAAGCACCTTTTATGAATTTATTTGGCCCTCTCTGCAGGTGTTTTTCCTTCAAGGAAGTATTACATTGTTGATTTCTTGCTTGGAAATGGACAGGAAATACCAGGCATTTGTGAGCAGCACTCTATAAAGTCTTAGGTTTCTGTACTAAAAGGGAAATTTATATGATAGCAAAACAATCTTAAATTTGACTGTCTCAAGGCATTGTTACAAAATAGCACTTGAATGCTGATAATTAAATGTTGGCAGGATAGTTTAATTTCTCCCATTATTTAAGATTAAAATAAACATTCCTAATTAAATAGCCATATCTTCATAATGTCCAATTGAAAATCAAATATTTGCAACAAGTTTTTGATATTAAATGGTATTACAAAATCACTGTACAGTATCCACTGTATGATTCATAGAAACAAATTTGGACACATTTTTCATATACAGCTTCTTCTAAATTCATGACATAGCAAAAAAAAAAGGTACTTTGACATCCCTAATTTACATTATGGTAATTTGTACTTTCCTGAAAACATTTATTTCATGGCTATCAGCTAGGCTACCCTATTCCCACTTTTCCCCTACCCCTCATTTACTCCACAAGTAATCAAAGTTATATTTGCAAATGAAGGACTTGCTTTTGTTTTTTGGCTAGCATATAGCAAAATGCAGTATGCTGTCATGCTTTAATTACTTCTAGTCAAAAATCTCTTGAGTTTCCCCTAATTCCCACAATTTGTGCTCATCTCTCTGAAATTAATAGGAACTAGCACCATGTTTAAGTGAGGAAATTCACTTTATCTTCTTTTGGGCTACTCAGAAGTACCTATGGCCTCACGGAGATAAGCAGACTCAAGAACTGAGTCGCAGGCCTGGGTCCCTACATCAGGACCATGATTGGTCAGTTGTGTTTAATTATTTACTAGAGTTTTTAATTTATAAAGTAATAATGTACGTGGTTTAACTTTTTTAAAGCAAATAATATCTAAAGGTATAAAATGAAAGTAATTTTCTCTCCTATCCCAGACTTTCAGTCCTTTTTCTCAGAGGCAAATGTGTTTTGCATGTATATTCTCAGAAAGTTTGTAGTCTACTAGCACATGTCTGAATATATATAGTATATTTAATATAGATGGGATGGTATACATACGTGTTACTTTAAAATACCTTGGTTTTTTGATATTTGTTTTACAGACACCGTGTGGTATAATTTACATACCAAAACATTCACCAATGTAAGTGTATGCTAAGTTGCTAAAATGATATAGTTGTGCAACAATCATAATCCTTAGAACATCCATCATCCTGAGTTCCCCCAAAGCCCCAGGTAGCCACTAATATGCTTTCTGAATAGTTTTGTCTTTCTATAATATTTTCATACATGGTATCAAACAGTACATAATATTTTACTTAGCTTAATGCTGTTGAGAGTTACCCGTGCCAGTGTAGGTGTAAGTGGTTTGTTTCTTTTATGGCTGCATAGTATTCCATTGCACAGATACACTACATTTTTGTGTCCATTCATTAGTGTATGGACATTTGTTTCCATTTTTTTGATATTTATGAATCATGTTATAAACATTTGGATACAATTGTGCTTATGTTTTTATTTTTCTTGGGTAGATACCTAGGAGTGGTATTGCTCGGCTATAAGAAGAAAGTGGCTGTTGTACAAGGTTTCCAATTTCTGCCCATTGTTGCCCACATTGGGTATAATCAGTCTTTTTTATTATAGTTATTCTAATGAGCATGTAGTGACAACTTTATGTGGTGTTAATTTACATTTCTCTAATCCTTTTACATGTTTACCGTGTTTTCATGTGTTTATTAGCATTTACATATCTTCTTCAGTAGCATGTCTATTCAAATAATTTGCCTATATTGGGCTGTCTGTTCTTGTAAGTTGTATTGTTATGAAAGTTCTTCCTTTATAAGCTATGTGATTTACAGGTATTTTCTGTCTATGGCTCATCTTTTCATGTTTTAATGACCCCTTTGAAGCACACAGTGTTTAATTCTGATAAAATCCAATTTATCAATTTTTTTTTTCTAATATGGATCATTCTTTTGGTATTGTATCTAAGTACTCTTTGCCTGATCCAAGATTTCTCCTGTTTTCTTCTAAAAATTGTATACCTTTAGCTCTTTTATTTAGGTCTATAAACAATTTTCGGGTAATTTTTATGTATACTGTGAAATAAGAGCCTAAGTTTTCTTTTTGTTGTTGTTGTTGTTGTTTGTTGTTGTTTGCAGTTCTTTTTGCTTATGTATATCCAATTGTGCTAGCACCGTTTGTTGAAAAAACTATTTTTTTCACTGAATTCTCTTGACACTTTTGTCAAAAGTGAATTAGCATAAATGTGCAGGTTTATTTCTAGATGCCCTATTCTGTTCCATTGATCTGTTTGTCTATTCTTGTTATAATGCCATGCTCTCTAAGTTACTTTAGCTTTCTATTAAGTCTTAAAGCCAGAGAGTGTCAGTCCTCCAACTTTTTCTCCTTTTTCAAAATAATTTGGCTATTCTAGGTCTTTTGCATTTCCATAGACATTCTAGGATTGGATTGTTTTTTCATTTTTGTTTTCTGTTCTTTTATTGTTTTGTTTTGTTTTAAGAGACAGGGTCTCATTCTGTGGTCTAAGCTACAGTACAGTGGTGCAGCCATCACTCACTGCAGCCTCAAACTCCTGGGCTCAAGCGATCCTTCAGCCTCTCCAGTAGGTAGGGCTACAGGCATGTGCCACTGTAAAGTTTTTTAGTTTTTCTTTTAGTGATGAAATCTGTGTTTCCCAGTTGGTCTAGAGCTCCTGAGCTCAAGCAGCTTTCTTGCCTCTACCTCCCAAAGAGCTGGGATTACAGGAATGAGTCACTGTGCCTGGCCTAGGATTGCCTTTTTAATTATTTTGTTACATAAAAGGTCTGCTGAGATTTGTGTGTTACACTGACTCTATAGAATAATTTGTGGAAAATTGCCAACTTAGCGTTGAACCTATTAATTCATAAATACAGTGTATGTCTTCACTTTGTGGATCTTTATTTCTCTCAGAAATAGTTTGTAGTTTTCCATGTATAGATCTTGTACTTTTGTTCAATTTATTTCTAGCTATTTTATTCTTGTTGATGTTATTGTGAGTGGAATTTTTATGTCTTTTCAGGTTGTTTATTGCTAATATATAGAAATGCATTTGTTTTTCATTTTTAATTTTGTACACTGCAATTTTATTTAACTGACATTTTAGGTCTGGAGGCTTTTTGTAGACTCCATATTTTCTATGTAGCTATTATACCATCTGGTAATAAAGACAGTTTTACTTCCTCCTTTCCAATTTTTATGCCTTTGACTTCTTTTCCTTGCCTTATTAAACTAGGTTCAGCTTCCAGAATTACACTGAGTACAGGAGAGATGAGTAGACATCCTTACCTTGTTACCAATTTTAGAAAGTGTTAATCTTGCATCATTACATCACATTTTAGGGCAGGAATTTTATATGCCCTTTATCATGCTGAAGAAGTTGTCTTCTCTTCTTGGTTTGCTGGAAATTTAAATAATCAGTGGGTGTTGGTTTCTATCAAATGTTTTTTTCTGCAGCTATTGGATGATCCTGTAGTTTTTTCTTTATTAATATGGTGTATTACATGACATGATTTTTGGATATTGAACTAATTTAACATTCCTGAGATAACCCTACTTGATCATGGTATATAATTCCTTTTGAATGTTGCTTAATTTTGTTGGCTCATATTTTGTTAAGGATTTTTAAACCTGTTTGGGGGAAGGTTTTCCTGTTGTTTTCTTTCA